AGCTTTTTTTTTTTTTAATTTTGTTATATTCTTGAATGAAAAGCAATACAGATTTTAGCAGAAGCCAGTTTTAGCAGCAGCATATTACCTAAGTCTTTTTAAAAATATTCATTTAACTGTAGCATCCCTTGCATAACACTGACATTACTTTTATAATCTGTAAGCAGGTCACTTCAATTAATAATATTTTCACTGCATATGCAATGCCTTGTATATGCAATCAGAATACCCCATACAATCAATAAGGAATAAAACTCTAACCCTGAGTGGAAGCCTTAACTTTTAATTGTTGATGAATGAACATCATCAGCAATCATTTTACATATTTCATAACTGAAGTTTCTTTATTCAACATTATTATCTGAAATAATATATAGCATGCATTATAAAACTGTATTCACTGTTCTGTCAGGGAATTCAACAATATATGTACATTTTAAAAAGCACATAAATTACTTTCCGTTTTTAAGAACTTGTACAACATAAATATTAGGGGGCATCCTGTAATGCAAAAGTAGTAAGATTAAAGGTGGACCCATCTGGCAGCAGGTCCCTGTTCCTGAGCATCGACTTTCCAAGATAAAGGAAAAATGGATTGATTTTGTCTGGCATCAGACAGAAGAAAAGAAGGAAGGTATTAACTGTTAAGTTCAGCGTTGCCAGACTTTCCCTTAGTCTTTTTAGCTGAAGCCTACTCTTCTGATGAAAATCAACTTCAAAATACTTCATAAAAGTTTGATTCCAATGTGGGTATTTCTTTTGTGTACTAGAATCCCCACCAATCTGGATCATAAAATCAGAGCAAATTTTTATCACTGGATCATTTTATCACTGGATAACCAGCTTTGCTCTGAATAATTTCTTTAATACACACATTTCTATAATCAATATGTTGTGACTGGTATGTGATAATGAATGAGAAGAGGTACGAGTAGGAACCGAACACATATAAAAGATACAGACATCCTCAAAGCAGTATGATTCCTGGTGACTGCATCCATGCAATTTTCCTGACAGCATTATGTAAGTGGCTCACCACTCTCTTATTCCAGAACTTTTTTCAACTACTTAGTCTAGCTAACAGCACATAATCAGGAGTTTATACAGAAAATCCATTGCTTTGTTTCTCTTGCTTTATGAAGAATCCAATTATACCATTTCTCTAAGAACACCTTAAGGGACATTGAATCTAAGATTACATGGACTGGACAGGTTAGTAGTCTCTTTTTCAGATTGAAAAAAGGGGTAATTTTAATGAAGAATGAGAGTAGATGTATTGGTACTGGTGTTGTAACAGCTCACTGGAGCACTTCCCCAGGATTTGCTCTGATAATGCAAACTGACTAAATTAAATGGTAATGTGGCTTGCTCGTTCCTGTAGAAAGCTATTAGAATAACCAGTACACTGGCAAATATTCTAGGAATATGGCAAGGAATAATAAAGAAGCAAAAGTAGAGAAATGTCTTTTCAGACAGTCTTATTAGACATAAATATATCTTTTAAAGCTACATAATAGCCTTGGTGGAAAAGTTATATCTATGAATATAGAAACTTCATATGGAATGTCCAGAACCTAACCTTACTTACTTATTTATCTATCGTATTTATATAGCCATCCAGCTCACACAAGGTGACTCTGGATGGCTATACATTTACTAAGATGCTTTAGATCTATTAATAAATTTTCCATTCTCACTTTCTGGAATACCTAGAATAGTAATAGAAAAAAGATTTTATAGCTAATATTGCAATAACTGTAGGAAGGTCATTTTTCTGGAAAACAAGACACTGAAAAGTAAATTCTGAAATCAGTTCTGCCCATAAAAGATATATATTTGAGATATAGCTACTAGCACTGTGGTTATATTGGAAATTTAAAAGCTGATGTAACTAGTCCCCTTTTCCATGCTATATCTCAGATTCACAACCTGGACACTCAAAATATGTAGACTCCAGTGAGAATGACCACTGCTAAGAATTCCTGAAATTTGTCTACATATCTGGAGGATGCCCATATTGGGTAGGTTGATAGAGCTGCTGAAATGATCTTACAAGAAAGAAATGATCTTTTTATCTTTCCTCCTCTCTCTTTATTATTCCTGAATTGCACTCAGGCATATTTATGGTATGATAGCTCATGAGGCACCTTGCAAAACAGTAAGAGAATATAAATAGGAAAATTGGTGCAAATATTAAGGTTGAGAACCACTGCATTAGGCAAGCTGTTCCCAAGACCTAATTCTCATTTGGGAGAGAATTAGTCCACTGTTCACTTTGTCTTTAAAAAGATGGAGTGAAGGCTCCCCTTATTTCAAATTCACTGTGAAATTAAAAGGTGTTTAAAAAGGAGAAGAGAGGTGTTTCAGCTTAAATGAAAGATGGAGAAAGTAAGAATTAATGGGCATGGCATTCTAGAGATGACCTTTTTGTCTTTTGATAATGTCATTCTAGCTCACAAGCAAGTAACCTGTGGTCCCTGGACTAATTTCATGCAACTTTTGGATTAATGTCAAAAGCCTTCTACAACCAATGTACAGGTGAAACTCGAAAAATTAGAATATCGTGCAAATGTTCATTTATGTCAGTAAGGCAACCTGCCAAAAGTACCAAAACCTGGTTCAGTGACCATGGGATTACTCTGCCAAAAGTACCAAAACCTGGTTCAGTGACCATGGGATTACTCTGCCAAAAGTACCAAAACCTGGTTCAGTGACCATGGGATTACTCTGCCAAAAGTACCAAAACCTGGTTCAGTGACCATGGGATTACTCTGCCAAAAGTACCAAAACCTGGTTCAGTGACCATGGGATTACTCTGCCAAAAGTACCAAAACCTGGTTCAGTGACCATGGGATTACTCTGCCAAAAGTACCAAAACCTGGTTCAGTGACCATGGGATTACTCTGCCAAAAGTACCAAAACCTGGTTCAGTGACCATGGGATTACTCTGCCAAAAGTACCAAAACCTGGTTCAGTGACCATGGGATTACTCTGCCAAAAGTACCAAAACCTGGTTCAGTGACCATGGGATTACTCTGCCAAAAGTACCAAAACCTGGTTCAGTGACCATGGGATTACTCTGCCAAAAGTACCAAAACCTGGTTCAGTGACCATGGGATTACTCTGCCAAAAGTACCAAAACCTGGTTCAGTGACCATGGGATTACTCTGCCAAAAGTACCAAAACCTGGTTCAGTGACCATGGGATTACTCTGCCAAAAGTACCAAAACCTGGTTCAGTGACCATGGGATTACTTCTCGCTTTGCATGTAATGCGTCTATCTGATATATTGGTTTCACCTTTTGAGTTGCCTTACTGACATAAATGAACATTTGCACGATATTCTAATTTTTCGAGTTTCACCTGTATTTACACCTTTGGCAAAGTCAAGACTGCTGTATGGAGAAAAAAAGAAAGGGAGGCTGTAATCCATTGCTTGGTTAAATTAACATTATCACTGACTGGTGACTCTAACATATTACTTTCAAGGAAATATGATCTTCAATAGAGAAAAAAATTGTCCAACCCTGTTCTAGTTGCATAATGGAATTAGTTGTTTTTTTTAAAGACTTTTTGGTTGGTTTTGCAATAGAGTATGAACAGCAAATTGTTAATGAGATCTTCAGGCTTGCAGAGGTATTTTATTACAAAAGAGTTTGAAGAACCAGCTTAGGCTGAATTTTTATGATAATTTCTATTAAGACTTGGATAATTTATGGATCCTGGCTTTAAAAAAACGCTTAGAGGTTGATATGTAAAAGCAGATATGGCTTCTTCATGTATATATATCAAGTGGGTCAATCATGGGAAAGTGCCAATGAGCTTCTAGATTAGCATGGGACAACCAAATCAATACTCAGTTGGACATAGTAGTGGCAAGCTCATAATCACTCCATTGTGAACTGTAAGGCTATTCCTAAAAAGCTCTTGCTTAAGCGAGGTGCTACTGATATCTAAATTAGCATTCTTAGGGCTGCAGTAAAAAATATTATAATCACAAAAGCAATTAATTAAAGTCAAGTGCTACCTCTGCATTGTTGTAAAAAGCAGTACTATTCTTTTCTTGCACATCTTCTCCTCGTGCTGTGAAGAACGTCAGAGGATAAAAATCTTTGTGTGCAGGCTGTTTTCCACTGGCCATCAATTTGCCCTCATAAAAAAGCTCAGAAGTATAACTGCAATGGAGAGAAACAAAAAATGAAATGTAGAAACATTGGATGGGCTGAAGCTGGATGGGTGGGAACCAGCAGTATTCAGGCCAAAGAGAATCATTATGTAAACATTTTTCTTGTTATTGCTTTGACCTCTGAATCAGATTCACTTTTACAACTTCAACATGTTTTATATGTAGATACACAGCAATGCACAGAAGCCTTGAACAGCTGTCTCAGCATGTATGTTGATTTTAGCATCATTTTGAGAGAGGTTAAAATTAATCAAGATGTTTTGATTAATTCTACCTTCCTCAATCTGGTACTCTGCAGAGATGTTGGGATCCCAGCTCACAGCTTCCACAGCTGGGAAGTCTAGAAACTATAGCTCTAACATTTCTGGAAAACACCATGATGAGAACAGGTAGGGGTAACATTTTATACAATAAGCAACTATTTGTTTACTATAATACAGTAAGTGATTGCTTGTATATGTTAAAAGACAAAATTTCATAGAAAAGAACTGATATGCATCTTTTTGTTTTTCATATCCCCTTAGAAAGCCTTAGAAAGAATCCTGGCATTCATTTTAAAAATCACTTTTAAGAAAATGTGCATTGTTTATTCAGAACAGTATAGTATGCCTAGTTATTTTTCTCAGATCATTTGTGGAATTTATGTTAATAGGACTATTCCTGAAAATCTTTGAGGGCACAGATACAACATGAAATATGAATTTCTACTTGACTACGAATGGGAGGAGAGCTGCTCCTCTAATTTAGCCATCAAGATATCATTCTTATTTACACACTGTTATTTAATAATAATGGTGGTGGTGGTGGTGTGATATCAGCAACAGCAACTTTTTGAAGCTATATGTGGAAAACCTGCATAGACAGAAAGCTCCTATGTTCAAAATGCATCCATAACATCTCTTGACTCAATTTATGAGCATACTCTGTCATTCCTCTGCAAATCTTGCAGAATGATTAACCAATAAATTCTGTTATTTTGTCCGAGCATCTGTACTCTCTCTCACTTGCCTATTTCCTGCATTAATGTCTCTATTCCTAGACCATGATCACAGTTTCAAACTTCAGTCTAGATTCAAAGTCCTAAGAACTGACTTGCTTGATAACTGCTTTCACATTGCCTTGTTTTGCCAGTTTATACTAGTGGCATGGTAAAGATACTGCTTCTGAACCTGGACTACATCAAACTGAGCAAGTACTGAGGTCAGCATATAACAGCAGCCTTCAACCCAGCAAACAAGTCCACATACTTGAAAATTATCTAAACCAATTTGGCTATTCCTCTGTTACACATATTCAGGCAGTTCTATTGTAATCATTTTAGCAAGAATTAACTTTTTCATAAATGCAAAAAACTTGAAATCCAAGTGGTAATGGAATTACAAACTTTATGCATCTGCCAATGGCACCGTTTTCATTTCCAGCCTACATATTGCACAATATTGTCTTGCATTTAGTCCATGAAATGTCACACAAACTCTATTTTAATATTTTGGAGATACGACTGTCAGTGTAAGCACAGGAAAGCCAAGTTTCACTGTAAAAATAAAAGACTGCTTGTGTAAAGTTGGAGAGAGCCCTAGGTTGGCAATAATATTACAGAAAATATTGTGGTGGCTTTGGTGACATAAACCACAATTAAAGAAGCCCAGGTAGGCCATCCTACTAAGCCTCAGAGTAATGTAGTATTCTTATTTATTTTCAATACAAAAAACCAGTAGTCTTATAATGCTAATAATAGTGGTAGGTTATTACACTTCTCTTTTCAACTAATTTGGGAGTGTAATGGCAAAAGATTTTTAGTGCTTCTGTTAGACACTTGCACCAGCCAAGCAAAGTGTGATACAGTGAAAAAGTTCACACCTACTTGATGATAGCTTCATGGGAGCGATAGTTCTCACACAGCAAGATCCTGCAAGGAAATTCTGCAGGGCAATGTTCATAAAGACGATCAAGTAATGAAACATGAAGATTTCTCTCTCTGGCAAATTCACTGTACACAAAAGGACTAAGCTGTAACCAAGAAAAATAAAAAAGAAGGCATTATTTTATAACTGAATATTTGTGTAGAGCATTATCTCAATAGAGAAACCAATGACCAACCTATAAAAATGATATTAAATTATTTATGTACAGTGGGAGAAAAAAAGAATGACACTATATCAAATAGTCTCCACTTAATTGTTTGAATTCACTTGCTTCCAATTTATGGGTAACAAACCAATAGAGATATTTCTTTGAACTTCCTGGTTTCTTAAGTAAGCTGATTTCCTCTATTTCAGTGCCTGAGAGAGGAGCACTACATGATGAATCCTAAAGAGAGTTTCAAGAGAGGCAGGGCACACCTAAACATTATGGACTGCCTTTACTGCTACATGCATACATAAGGAAACCAACCTAGATGAGATGCATCTTATAGTTCTATTTTCACAATTTTTTATTTTCAATCATTTTATTATTTTTTAATTGTAAAGCCCTGCTGAACCCAAGTAATATTTTTCTTTAACCTGCATTGCTTAACAAAAAATCGGAGAATCATATAGTGCCTATGAGGCTAAGGTTGGAAGTCATAAACTTTCATAACCTTGAATTTATTTATTTATCAGTTTTTACTGCTCCCACAACAACCTCATAAGGTAGGTTGAGCTGAGAGAGAGTTGTTGTTGTTGTTTAGTCATTAAGTCGTGTCCGACTCTTCGTGACCCCATGAACCAT